CAATCCTAGAAATCCTAAGCGCCGAAATCCTAGATAGGCTACTGAAAACATCTGACCAAACATCAGGTTATAGTGAACCCTGTCGCTGCATCGCCTCCTAACGGCACACGTGCTTTACTGAAGACTATGATCAGTAGGCGAGCTTAGGTATGCTCAAAAGCACCGTGAAACACAGAAAAGGCACATAAAAGTACTTTTAAGGCAGATCCTAGTTATCAGCATCGGACGAACGCACAAAGTTGTCTTATTCACAAAACTTACGAAAAAATAGTGAAAAAATGACACTTAAACCCTACACAAACGGCACAAGAAACAAAGGAACAATCGAACACAGCACAGCAGGAATATTTCGTTTTTGGGGGTAACTTAGGCACAGTCACTAAAACAGTTTGAAAATGCACTTCAGGCAATCCCGCAAAGTTCCGGAAACACAACACACAACCCCACGTGACCCCACCAGACCGGAAGCCTAGGTTATATACATTCGCAATTACAGGCTCTTTTGCCTCCAGTGCATTTTCAAACCAATCCCTGAAAAAAAAAAAAAAAAAAAAAAAAAAAAAAAAAAAAATCTCTTCCTTTTTTTTTTCCTTTTTAAAACTATACTCTTCTCTCAACGTTTTCCTCACATACCTACATACCACTACTCCTACCTATAGGCATACGGGAAACCCGTAGCATACTAGAGCCGTGTTTTCACGGCCCGTCGAGCCTGCAGGATACTGGCCAGGGGACGGCCGGTAGCACCAGGGATAAAGCGGACCAATCCCCCGTGCCTCCCCTCAGGGACGGGCCTTAGAAAAAAGTTTGAAAAAATATAACCCCCCTGAATCGATAATTTTGAATTTCGGGGTGGGGGGGCCGGGTTGTTATTGAGGAACAATTTTATTGGAATAGGTACGCGTGTTACTGAGGAACAGGTTTCATTCGAAGAATGTAGCAAGTTCTAGAATGCATCAAACCCTACTTTCGGCCACAGATGCATGCATGTGCCAACAATGCATGGGGCAACAATTCCATCCCGAAGCAATTTAAGTGGTCCTAGTGTGAATATGCCTCATTCTTCAGAGTTTTGGCATCTCAGGTCCCTGTGTGAATACGCTTTGATTCCTCCTTCTTAAGTTTTTGATTGGAGTCCGATTGTACACCCATAATCTGATGGCGCACAGATATGGGGACCCCGGACCCCTCCAAAAATTGGCCAGCCGCAGCACGACTCTATGCATGCGCGCACCGGCCATAGGTAAGTCTCTGGCCTCCGCCACGATAGCACAGATTGTACCTCGAAGACTCTCTAACCCCCGTCGCGGCATAATTTATTCCATCGGCACAGGCGCACATCTATAAGAATCCGGTTATGAGATGTAAACAATTGCGGGGTGTACAGGGTTTTCCGGTTTCTTTCTGTTGTGCAATCTGGATCAGCGTGCGGATGCCGTCAGTCAATGCACCAACGGCTGAAACTGGACTGGATGCATCCGACGGCAATACGTCGAGAGCTGAGTGGAATAAAAGGCCCTCGTGGGGCCCTCTCTGCCACTCAACTATTGAGAAAAGTACAAAAAAGATGGACCCTCTGTATGATTCCAGGTTATAGGGAAGACGGACCCTCTGTATGATTCTAGGTTATAGGGAAGATACATGGTTCGTCTTGCAGCTTTGCTGACTGATGTGAAACCGGCCCTCCTTTTTTTGTCTTTCATTGTTGGTTGTTTTCTCATGGCGCGGCTCTGTGAGGGTTTCCCACGTGGTCGTCGCTCCACAACTCTCCAAATGTGCAAGATGGAAATGAATCCACGCATAAAACATGGAAAGATACACCCTCAATGGTTTTATTTTTTATTTAGAACGGCGATGGCCTTGAGATATCACCATTGGACTGACCGTCTTTTGTTTTTTGTCCTTTGTGCATGTAGAGAGTAGTTGAGCGATGCCACATCCCGTGATTTTCACCTTCTGCCCCCCCCCCAGATATACAATTTGACTCCACTAAAGTGAAGTGTAACCATGTCTACCGGCACATCCGTTTAAAATTGGAACGATACAGAGAAGACTGACACACCGCGCAGGGGCGGGCTCGCAGCCCGTAATGTGACCGTGAGGCCTGCAGAAGTGAAAAAGCAGAGGACTGAGAGAGGGTGGCAGCAGCTCCCCAGGAGGAAAAGAGAAGCAGACGGGGTCGGGGTCGCCCCACCGGAAGTGAACCCTGTGGGCAATCTGTGGTATATAGAGCCGATTAGCGTAGCCCTAGACAAAAAAAAAGTTCCATGCTAATATATACGCAGCGGATGCGAACCCTGTGGGCACCAATAGCTCGCCCGTATATAGGCAGGGGAGGTGACCTGAGAGGATGTCGTGGCTGTGGCAGGGGAGCCCCCTGCAACTCCCCTTCCCCTCAAGTGGCCGGTTTTGGTTAATATGCTCATCCTTGTGTTCAGTGGTGATGAATGTGGGTGAGGGAAGTTGATTTGAGAGGTTGTAGTTGTCGCTCCTCTGGCACCCATCCCCTCGCCTTGACTGCCCGGTTTTGGTTATGCTCAACTTTGTCTTCGGCGGTCATGAATCTGGCATTCAGGAGGTCGCAGGTCCAATCCCCGTTGGCTTCATGTACCTTCCTGGACATTCTTGGCAGCCGCCACCTAGATATAGACCACTGGTCCACTGGATCCCCCGATCGGGGGGCTGATCGTCTTGTTGGTTGGTTGTGGGCTGATCGTCTTGTTGCCCGGCCTGCAATACCAATCATCAACGGGGGGCTGATCGTCTTGTTGGTTGGTTGTGGGCTGTTTAGGGATTAGGTAGCAGGAGGTCATTTTTTCCCTACGCAGGGAAGTAATCGATGCCCCCTGACAGTTTCACATGATAATGCATATTGGATACTGGACTTGACATCCAGATCATACATCAACGGGGGCTGATCGTCTTGTTGGTTGGCTGTGGGCTGTTTAGGGTTTAAGTAGCAGGAGGTCTTTCCTTCCCTGCGCAGGGAAGCAATCGATGCCCCCTGGCAGTTTCATATGATAATGCATATTGGATACTGGACTTGACGTCCAGATCAAACATCAACGGGGGGCTGATCGTCTTGTTGGTTGGCTGTGGGCTGTGACGCGCCAGCTTCCGGACCCACGCCATCTTTCAACCCCCCTCTTTTTCGAATTTTTGTTGTCTTGCAAACAGGCCAAAAAGGCCCCTTAACTGCCATTTCGTCAAAATGGACATTTTTTATTTTTTGAACGAAATTGAAACTGAGTTTTTTGGCCGAAAACTCGTCAAAATTTGTTGTTCGTGAGGGTCCAGCATTTTACAAACGCTGGACCCCTGGCTGTACATGGACCTAGCTTGAGACCAGGCACCTCCAGACATGTACATGATCGCTATGGTGGACGTAGCACGTGACGGTCGGGATCGTCAGTGCCTGTGTGAGGTCGAAATCGGAAGTTGTCTTCTTCTCTCTTCTGATCCATGTCTCACCTCCCTCATACCTCCTTGTTGTTATATTTCTGCTACAATGGATGAATTATGATGATTTCTCTCCTCTTACTTTGACAAGTGTGTGTCGTGGATTGCGCCTGAGGACTTGTGTGAGCATGTTGATGGATCTGATGGAATGCGGGATTGGATCGATCGAATGAAAGATGCATGACTAGGAAGAATCTGGTGCTTCAAGTTTACCTTTTTGCCATGTGACTGGGCGCCGACTTCCTGTATCTCCGCCACGACCCTTTCCATACAACGAGGAAAAGACACGTGTATGCAAGTGGGACGTATGAGAAGTCGTCACCAACATTGGCGGGCGTTATTACTTTCCACCTGAGACCCGGTGCTCCGGATTCGTTGGTGTGGGATTCGTAATTATTGGTACGCATTTTCTGCCTTATTCGTTGTTGTTGTCGTTTAACGAGTTGGTCATCATCCCGTGGTCGAAAGTGGCACCTCATTGG